TTCCTTAATAAAACAAAGCATAGGCCAGGTGTGCTACCGAACTTTTAATCCCAGCACTCTGGAGGCCGAGGCCAGTGGATCTTTCTGAGAGTTCAAGACAAGTCTGGTCTATGTACCCAGTTCTAGACCAGTCAAGGATACATAGTGAGACTCTGTGTAAATAAATAAATAAATAAATAAATAAATAAATAAATAAATAAATAAAGACAAGGTACACACAAATGAACCTGCATAAACACGCACATGTGCATACCCACATGCATATGGACACACATGCACACACAACTCAACTCTTTAGATAAGGGTGGTCTCAGCCACTTGGAGGCTAAGACAAGACAATCAATTGAACCCAGAGTTCAAGATCAGCCTAGACAATATGGTAAAACTCTGTGTGTGTGATATACCGAGTACATACCATGATTTCATCACTTTAAGCAGGAACTAGAGCATCCCAGGTTTTTGCTTATGGAGCAAGAAACTATCTCTTCACCCATACTAGTTTACCAGGATAATGGTTGCAAAGCTTTCAAAGCGGTATACTCCACAATTATCACCATCATCATTCACCTTTCAGAAACTAATTCACAGGCGTCTGCTAATGTGCCTTGACCCTCCTCAGCACATCATCAACCTATTTATAATGACAACTTCCTGCTATTTAACATGTTCCATCACTTGTACCCTCTATACAAGTCCCTAAAGTCACTATCATTATCTTTACCCCTACATGAACACACAGAAGCTCTAAATAACTGGTGGCAAGAACATAGAGCCATTAAATGGCAGCCAGCAGTGAGATTCAACCCACAGCCCTTAGCTAGAAAATCGCCTGCCTTTCCCTTCCCCGAGGGTTGCTGGCTTTTCCAGGCAGTGGCATTCTTCTACCATGAAGGGAGGAGGGTTCTCAGATTAGGGGAGCAGGGGGGAGGCAGAACATGCCTACACTCACTACCACCACCATTGAGAAATTGTGAGCCAAAGGATCCACTGTCTGTTCCTGAGATTGCCTGCCCACTCTGTACTGTTCCGCACTTACACATGGTACACAATTACGTTCTGCTTATCCAGGGAAAGAGCCATCCCCCCAAAAGTGGATTTTTCTCACAATAAAGCTAAGCAGTAAATGTGAACCAGTGGAATAGCCTACCAAAGACAGAGCCTGTGCACCCAGACCAGCACCTCAGTGAGCTCAGCACAACCACCCAGGCTGGATGACACACACACATCTCAGCATGTAGTAGCTACTGGGAGAACATATTTCAAGGAAAGGAGAAATGATGGACCAGGTCAACAGATGGGAGCAGGAATCTTGGCTCCTCTACTCTTGGGGTAGGCAGCAATAATGGTTAGTTTCCTGTCCTAAGATAGCTGACAACATAACTGGAACAGTATGCAGGTATCTGATCAAAAGCTAGTCTAAATGTCAACTGTGTAAGTCGTAAAGCTGGCAGCCCTCCAAACATGAGTGGATTTCATCCATTTGCAGGCCTTAAGGTGGAAGAGAAGTGGGGGGGGGAGGGTCCCACGGGAAAGACATTCACAGTCAAGTTGCAACATCAACTCTTCCAAGGTCTCTGGCCTGCAGGCTACCATGCAGATGATGGAACCAACAAACTCCACAATCACATGAGTCTGTTTCTTAAAATTACCCCTGTACATACACATAGGCACACTGTTGGTCTGTATCTCCACAGAACCCTGACTGTGTGTGTGACCTGGCACACGCCCTTTTTCAGGGCCTGGTCTCTTCCATGTGTATAAAACAATAGCACCATCCCTCTAGAGCTTCCAGGGGAGCAGCCAGGACACAGGGAAGACCTTGGCTGAAGATCTATGGGGCTCAAGGGCCTGACCTTCTAGTGCCACTTTCACTCAAGGACTTCTCTAAGTGGTCCCAGGTAAATACCACCTCACTGGCCTAGAGCTCACTACAAAAGCTAGGCTAGCTGACTGGTGAGCCCAAAGAATGCCCCAGTCTCTGTGCGCCCCCCCTACACGTTACAAGTGCATGGCACCATGCTCAGTTTTTCAAGTGGATTCTAGGGGGTCAAATTCAGTCCTCATGCTTGTGAGACAAGCACTTTTATTCACTGAGGCATCTTTCCAGGACCCTGACTTCAGCAATATGCCCAGGATGAAAAAAAAGAACATAAAGAGTCTGACTTTACATGAAATTGTCCTACACTGGCTCCCTGGAGAGTAGGGAGGACATCCAAGTTCATTAACAGAATTGGCCAAATGTCCAGAACAGTTACAATGGATGCTTAATTGCCAAGCTGGTTCCTAAAGGACATGGCGGCCCTCCCACCATAGCTGTAATGCTGTAGAAAGCTCACAGAGGAGACCTGCTCCCAAGCACTAGAAAAACACAAAGGGAAGCACAGCTTTCACAAACCTCTGACCTGCCCAAGGAACACAGTACTCATTAGAGAGTACCCCAACCTCATGCTCGACCACATCAGGAACCAAAAACCTTTCAGACAGGTGAAAAGTCATCCTAAATTCTACTCCATATTTTGTTTCTGCTGGAGGGACTAGATTATTCATATAAACAAGAGAGACATGGGAATCTGAAATTTGTATCTGTACATTTAAAGGTTACCAACATCCTATTTTAAAAAGTAACTTTATGTTGATTTTGTTTTCTTAAGTCCTAGAGGCATTTTTCCGAAGCAAGAATGAAGTGACAGAGATGGGGGTCCCGGGACAACCCTGAGGAGTCCTGCCAACCTAGGAGGCACCCAAATGATTTTTCACTCTTTCCCTACTGTGCTCACAGTCTTCAGAAATCATTTCTTGACAAAGATAAAAAAGAGCTTTTATATCCACCACTAAAAGGCTTCTACTATGGAAATGTGGTCTCAGAGCCCTCCTAGAATTCAAGAAACTCAAAGATATTGGTGTGTCCATTCCTGACACTAGAAGCCAGGGACACCATGGACCTCCTTTCTCCAGGACACACCCAGGACACACTTCAGAGTTCTCAGTGAAGAGACAAAAACGACCTCGGGTTGAGGAGGAAGTCCCAATCCCTTAGAAAAATTAATGGCACCACTTGAAATAAGATAAAAAGCTTTCAAAAGAAGGCAAGTATATAAACCTTCATAAGCACTGCCTTTTTAAAACTATTTTTAAATGAACACATAATAATTACATGTTTATAGAGTATAATGTGAGAATTCAATACAGACTTATATATGTGAAGTGTGTAATGCCCAAATCAGAGGAGAGGGGAATGGAACAGGGTCTCACTATGCAGCTCAGGCTGGCTTTAAGCTAGCAATCCTTTAGCCCCAGCTTTGAGTGGTGGGCTTCCAGGCCTGTGCTACTGCTCCTGGCACAGCTGTTTCATTGAGTCTGGCACACAGCTGGTGCTCCTAATCATTGTGAACTGAGAGGAGAGAATCACAGGCCTCCACAATCAACATCTAAGCATCTGATATACATGCCCATACTGAGCAATGCCCTGAAAACCCTGTACTAAAGGAGGAATCCCAGGTACACAGTGTGTCTTAAGCCACACAGTAGGATAGAGCAGAAAAGCACAGCTGCTATATGGAGCAGTGGGCTACAATGAATCATCTCACTCCCATTCAGGCAGGGGAAATCACAAATGCAGGCCAAAAGGGCACACACCCAGCTCTGCTTCAGAGCACTGGGGTTGCATCTTGGGAAATGGAACTTCAGCAGCTGTAAGAAACCATTCTGCATACTACAGGCTATGCTTATGCATTGGGGGAGAACTACAAAAATCCTGCTCAGAAATACATCTCATAGTGCTGAGTTTTCTATATCAAAAGCAAGCCCAGGGGCTGAAGAGAAGGTTCATTTGGTAAAGTGCTTGCTTTGCATGCATGAGGACCTTAGCTCAATCCCCTGCACCCATTGGAAAAAAGCTCGGTGTGGTGACACATGCTTATAATCCTAGTGCTGAGAAGGTGGAAACAGATGGATTCCTGGGGCCCAGGAGCTAGCCAGTTGACCCAGTTGGTGAGCTCCAGGTTCAGTGAGATACCCTGCCTCTAAAACAAGGAGAATGGCTCCTGAGGAATGCCACGTGAGGTTGGTCTCTTCCACACGCATACTCACATATGTACATGTTCAAAAAAGATATAAAAGTAGGTGGGGAGGGGGGGTGCTGGAGTGATGGTTCATCAGTTGAGCACTGACTATTCTTGCAAAGGACCTGGATTCAATTTCCAGCACCCACATGGTGGCTAACAACCATCTGTAATTCCAGTTCCAGGAGACATGACAAACTTTCTGGTCTCCATGGAAACTGTGTGCACATGGTGCCCTTAACATCCAAGTGGGCAAGACACTCATACACATAAAATACAAATAAAAAAAAATTTAAAGAAAGGTTTAAAGGGTGGGAGGGGACCAGTTGGGAAGAAGGGAGTCAGCAGGAGGGGGAGGGAGGTAAGAGAAGGGATTAGGGAGAAAGATCACTATACATTATGCATATATATGAAATGTCAAAAGTAAAATAACTTTAAAAGAAATAATAATATAAATAATACCAACAGTCAAACATTGCCCAGGACTTATCCTATACTAGTCCTCATGCTGCCTACAAGGATTGCTTCACAAGATAAGAAATGCCAACTGGTCCCATTTTACACATGAGAAAACTGAGGTATAGAGGGATTAAGAAACTACAGGAGAGCTGGGATTGGAATCTGGTGGGTCTAAGTCCAGAGGTCTGATTCTCCATCATCTTCTACTGTGAGCACTCCTGGCCAGGTACGAATTGATCACTCTACAAGGCTCGCTACCATACAAGTGTCTCAAGACTCTAGACCTACAATCCTGTAAGTGTCCAAATCAACAGAATATTACTGATAGTCTACATTTTATTTAGTGATAATACATGGCAGTGTTTTCTATCTAATTCATTTTCTGAAATACTCTACCGCATTTGAGTATGTATTCACCCACATACTGAGTGTGCCATGCAAGGAATGAGGGCTCAACCCACCGGTTCAGGCTCCTCTTACCTTCAGCAGCCTGCCCTTCTCTTTTCAGCATCTGGACAGCTCCTACATACTTCTTCAGCTGGACTTTGAGCACCTCATTTTCTCTAAAGGTATAAGAAAAACAGTTTAAACACTGGCAATTTAGACCCAAAGCAGGGGAAGGAATCAGTACAAAGAAAGCACACAATCTGCATCTTACAAATACTGATGTATTATCCTGTTTTACAGATCATCATTGGAAGTGATTGTGTTACATGTTACCAAGGACATGCTTCTAGAACAGCTTCTGGAACTTTCCTTTTGGAATATTGTTGAGTGCTAACTGATTCCTATGCCCATAGACTCATAATGATAACAAGTACTGTGTGAATTTACCAACCTGTCAGGTGCCTGTTCAGGGTCAGATGCTTGGTAGTTCTTTCCCCCATTAACAGAGGCACACACTAAACTTGGTTCACCTGGGGAAGGCTCATAGTGAACCAACTACTACATATTACAGGATTTGCCTCATGTCCTGTGTTTAAACATCATCTCACTAAATCCATCCCAGGAACTAGCTCAGCTCCTACTTTGTAGATGGGGAAACTGATGTAATTCATCCCCACACCCCACCTCCAGAATCTACTTCCCAGACACAGTGGCTGAGCATGCATGAGGTTCCAGGAGAAGACAGCCATTACTTGACTGTCACTGCACAGCCTAGAGCTTGTATGGACAGTGAGATTTGACCTCTCAACCCTCTACATAAGAAAAGGTTCCTCATCCACATTCTCTTTCTGCCTCCTACTTCCCACCCCAGGTCTTGAGCACAAGTGTCTTTAAGCACAGTGAGACGTTTTATCTTTCCTCACAATGAAAAGAGCTCAAGACTGAGCTTCTTCTATGACTACAAAAATGAAAAGATTCATTGCAAAATACTCCAACAATCACAACACATTTAGGAAGAAAGAGAAAATCAGCTGAAAACCCAGCACCTTGAAATCAAGCCCATGAACATTTTTCTATCCATCCCATCATACCTAAGTGCACACATGCAAAAGAGAATGCTTTATGGATGAACTATCTGTCATGTTCCTTTAACATTTTTGGCTGGAAGTAAATGTTTCTCCCTTGTTGACTGTTCCATCTGTGCTGCCCATCCTCTACTAACCAGTGGCAAACCTGGTATGTACCTGCTGTTTCCCACATCATGCACATCTGACCACAAGTCCAGTACACTCCTGCAGAATTTACTGTCAGCAAAAGACCACACTGTGCACTTTCTACAACAGAGCTGTTTCCTTTAACCATTGGCCACAGCAAGCACCAACTTAGTCAACCAATGGATGGGAACGGTGTTCATTAGTATAATGCCACACACTTAACTGAAAAATTTGGGATTGTCTGTGTTGTTTTCAGTGACTGACCATGCAATGCCCTTTTACAAAGGTAAAATCTGTCTTGCTGAGTTACTTTCACTTTGTCCTTTGTGTTCTTTGTGCAGTATTGATGGGGTTCTTGGACCTCAGATTTTATTTCTAACAATTGGCTAAAAGTTTGCAGGTGGAACCGGGTATGGTGGCACATGCCTTTAATCACAGCACTCAGGAGGCAGAGACAGGAGGATCTCTGTGAGTTCAAGATCAGCCTGGTTTCCATAGTGAATCCAGGCTAGTTGTGGCTACAGGGAGGCCCTGTCTCAAAAAGACAAAAAAAAAAAAAAAATTGCAGGGGGCGGTGTGTGTGTGTGTGGCTGGAGGTACACAGTGCTGCAACTGAACCCAGAGCCTCAGATACTAGGCAAGCACTTTGCCACTGAACTGCAACCCCAGCCCTAATTAACTAAATTGAAACTGATCTGCACAGATTTATAAATATTAGTTCATCTGATCCTCACAACAACCTTATGAGGCATTTTTTGAGGCTAGGACCACAGTATAGGTAGGAGAGGTAAGAATTACAAAGGTCAAATAACTTACCCAAGGTAATTAACTTTCACTGACCTCCCATTCCCTTGTTCATTAAAGTGAAGGTCAAAGCCCAGTAATTTCACATCTACCTAAAATGTGCATAGGCAAATGTGCATGCCTCTCTATACCTCCGTTTGTTTTCCTAAATTATGGGAGAGCACGAAGGAGCTCCACGGATTGATATGGAATACACAATTCTTTCAACAAATGTTTCTCTGGAACATGTTACATGCCAGTGTTGGGCACTGATTAGACAACATGAGAAGGAAACAGGACAGAATGGGTCCCCATCTGAGGTGACATTCACAGTAGCTGTGGCCCTACATGTAAGCAGATAGGTGACAGAGTTCCAGATAACAATGCATCCTGTAAAATATAAAGCAAGGTCCAGGACACAGGGTGGTGGCATGTTTTATAGAGAAGTCTACAAGTCTTATCAGAAGTTGGCAAAGAGGGTAAGACCTACAGGAGCTGAGGACACACTGGCTCCCACTGTCGGGATAGAGGTCTGGGAGCACATGGGCAGGCCACCTGCAGATCTGTTAAAATGCAGGTTCCAATACAGAGTGGTGCGGTGAGGCCTGGGAGTCAGCATTTCTAACTATCCCAGGCAGGCTGCCAGACCCAAGGCTAGGGCAGAGAGAAAGACTGGGAAACACCCAGGAATCCAGGGAGATTGAAGCCAAGCCTGAGTCACAAAGGCCCCTGAGTCAGGGCAAGAATAGATGTTATATGCATTAAGAAGAGCAGCCAAGAAAGATGTGAAGCTGGGAGGCAGGCACACTGTATGAGAGAAAGAGTGGAGGGCAGGAGGATACAGGGCAGCCAGCAGACCAGAAGGCAGCTGCTGTGGTCATCCAGGCAAGAAATGATGGTGGTCAGGCCTGGGCGGACTAGAGTGGCAGCCAAGGAGATGGAGAGATGTCCACAGCTCTTCACCTACAGGATTCCAGAGAGTCATGCCAGCCTGGCTCCCAGCCCTGATCTCCTGCTGGCCACCCTGCAGTTTTCTTTCAAAGCTCAGGGAAGATGCAAATCATGGAGTAGGTGGTGAGTGCCTCTCCCACAGCTTCCAATGACTACAGTAATTAATGTGTGCAAGCCAAAGCAATTACTCCTGCCCGATGTCAGAATAAACAACCAGCAACCCCAGACAGCACCACTCAAAGGATAATTACTCAAAACAAAACTAAGGAACCTGTTAAGTGCATTTGGTAATTCACAGGCATCAAAACATCACAATAAGGCATACCTACAGGAATTTTGCTTTCCAGGGCCAGACAAAAAGGTATTTTGAGGGTACTTTGGCTGTAGTAGGAAACACACCCAACTACTAAAAGATAGTGGTTGAATAGCCTGGCTCCCCAAAGCCATGAAAACGGCCTCAAAACAGTTATACAACTGACATCTGGTATAATGGTATTGAAAACCATTCCTAAGACCTCAAGGTCATGATCACTGCAAAATATAATATTGTCAACACTAACTATGCATAATCTGCTAGTCAGTCTCCTTCTGTCCTACCCCCTTTTGAAGGCCTCCCAAGCATGTTGCTACTGAGTGCAATACACATTTTTTGTGGCTCTTTACAGAGTTTCTGTGGTCATACCTTTGTAAAATCCGCACTATGACAATATAATAGCTACCACCTGTCCAGCAGTGGTTGCAGGAGAGGAGTGGGGGTGAGCAAGGTTTTGTCAATACTTACAGACTTAGGGGTCTACAGGGAAGCTAAGTAATTTTCCTAATACATGACAAGGTGCAAGTGTCAGAGCTGGGATTCAAACCTGGGCAGTATGACTTCAAAGTCAGAAGGAACAAGTCCTCTGCACTGCCTTTGGAATACAATGAACAATCCTAAGAGGTCCAGGGGAATAACACTCAGCCAGCTCCCACAACACTGAGATCAGAATAGGAGTAGAGGAAGGCAAAGGATACCTTCTACAGAGTTGCCTTGGGAAGCCTGTCCAGACTGCACAGGCTACCACCCCAGCCCTCCATATGTGTGCTCTTCAGGCTGAAATATCAATGCCCCGGTGTTTGTAGTGATCAGGGCTCCCAGGAATGCTCAGCCAACCATCTAACAGTCTGCTGTTGGATTTTGACTTATCACAGCACCTCCCTGCCCCACTCCATCTAACATCTGTGTATGCTACAGCTGACCTGTCTACAACCTACCACCTTAGCAAATACCTATGAGCTTCCCAGGCAACTCTTTCTGAAAGAGGTTCAGTACTGGTAACTAGCCAAGGACCCCCAGGAGTGTACCTGGGATGTTTGAGTTTCTGAGCAACTCCAAAGCCCAACCCATCCAGCTCCAGTGCAGGGGCCCCATTCTTCCCTTCCTGAACAGTGCAGTTCTAGGGACATTGGAAATGAATTACTTAAAGGAGAACTGAATTTATCACAAACAACTAGAACCAGGTTTCTTGTTTAAGAAAGGAATAACAAATATTTAAATTAAGAAAATTTGGAAGCTAACACCATGATGCTGGACTATAATTCAAGGGATCACTGCACTGTGAACTCATGAGGCCATCCCAAAAGAAGACAGTAGAGCTCTCCATGAGCAAAGCTAGGACAATCTAATCAACATAACCAACAAAATAGTGATAGAAATGGATTATGAGATCTTGAATAAGGCAGAAGCACATAAATGTACAAACTAACAAATGGAAAGGTTAATACACAGTAGACCTGTGGCTCCAAAAGTCTCCAGAATCCTCCTCACAATACTATTTGCAAAGGAGTGAAGAACAGCTTTAGCACAGCACTTAAGAAGATGGAAGTTAACATCTCCAGAGATAGAACAAAGTGAAGCCCCACACCACCCACTGGGATGCAGAGAGAACCTACCCCACATGGCTTATATTCCCACCAAAGATGCACAAACTGAATTTAATCATAAGGAACCACCAAGCAAACCAAATGGTGAGACATATGAAAATAAACCGGTTGCCATCTTCAAAAATATTGAGGTCAAGAAAGTCCAGGAGAAAGACAAAGAGATGTTCAGGCCAAAGAGGTGATAATTCCATGCAATGGTTTCCATTATCCTGAAAGGCAGGGCAGGCCTAGGACAAACGGCGAGAGCTGAGCATGATGCAGGGTCCGATGCAGCAATGTGTGAGGGCTGACCTTCTAGCCTGCACTGT